GGAGAGAGAGAGGGAGAAGGAGGTTCCTCAATGAGTAGGGAGCCTGATGCAGGGCTAGATCCCAGGACTGGGGCCATGACCTGAGCTGAAGGCAGATGCCACCCAGGCTGGCCCCTATCTCATTTTACTGAAAGTTGTACGCAACTGGTCTTATCTGTCACCTATTTGGTAGTGGAAGGGAGTAATATTCTTATGAATCCATTCTCTCAGTGATCTTAAGGTTGAAATGATGGGTGATTTCCCTGCCTAGTTTATTTACTGTATCATTTTCTCCTCCTTGTGCTGACTGTGATATTACAGATATATTACAGGTTTTGTGCGGGGTATTGTTGACATTTTAGCTCACCTGATCCATGGTGCTGCTACTTGCCATCCACTTTGTGTACTCAGCACTTTTGCAGGGACCTTGAGCGGACACCTGCCCTGCTCGCTAGTGTGTTCCCTATGATTTGGTTTTGGAATATAGGGGAGGTTCCGTGGGGTGGAGTCTGGAGCCTATGACCAAGAAAAAATTTTTTTTTAATATAGATTTTTTTTTTAAAGATTTTATTTATTTATTTGACAGACAGAGATGAGAGGCAGGCAGAGAGAGAGGAGGAAGCAGGCTCCCTGCTGAGGAGAGAGCCCGATTTGGGGCTCGATCCCTGGACCCTGGGATCATGACCACAGCCGAAGGCAGAGGCTTTAACCCACTGACCCACCCAGGCGCCCCCCAAGGAAGAATTTTTGAGATGTCTTTGCTGCAAAATGGTGGTTTATTAAAGTACGGGGACAGGACTCGTGTGCAGAAAGCGCTGCTGCTCTGGGGTTGTGAGGCATGGCTGATTTCTATCTATACTATGGGCTTGGGGGAGGTAAGGAAAAAAGGAGGTTTTGAGAAAGAACATTCATATATTAAAGAAGACTCAGGGGATCTTGGAGCCCTTGCTCTTGTCAAGGTTGTTTACCAGTCTTGTAAGGCATTAACGGTAAGGTAGTTGGGATATTCCAGAAGCAGTATTACATTCCTCCTATTCAACCCCGTCCTTTTTAATAGGATGCAGGTTTAAAAGAAATTCAATTTTATTTACATTTCCTTCTGCCTCAACCTCCCTCAATTTTAAGAAGAAGAGGGTGATGGTAAACCTTCAGGATTCTGAGTTATGGGTCACTGGAAGTTTGGCTATAGATAAAAGCTTCTTCCTTGTAAATCACTAGGACATTTGTAAACTGAGGAATACTCAGGTCTTGCAGGATTGTGATCTATACAAGGTAACTATTTGCTTCTCCTTTTGGGCAGCCAGGAGTGCCTGAGGAATGTCCCATATATCCCATGGGGGGTGGGNTCTGTTCTCTCATCACCTAGACAACACTCTGTAGAGTCACAAGGTAATGTAACTTGAGACATGACAATCAGATCCACCTCTGTGGGCAATCCTCGGTCCCTTTTCCCAAGCATTTCCCATCCTGTGTTCTCCTAGAGAAGACACTCTTCTCTCCTAGAGAAGATGCCTACAGAGCTTACCCAAGCTGGCATTAGTTTGGCCAAATGTGGACTTGAACTGGGACTCTTAATCACTCCACCATGACCCATAATAAAGGTATGTTTTCCATTTATTGGTGGGGGTGTTGGTTTGAATCACGTGCCCATGTGACCATGCTGCATAGATCATAGATAACCCAGAAGTAGGAGAAACCGCCCAAATGGAGTGACACTGTAGCCCAGGTCACAGATCGAAAATACATAAAATGAAAAAATGAGCATATAGACTGCAAATGTCTCAATTTGCACAATGGACTCCATGGATTTAGAAAAAGAATTTCTATTTGTTTTATTTCCTAGTTATCTCCAGATTTATAGCTATATTTTTGCTCATTTTTTTTCCCCCAGCTAATAGGCATCACAAACATCTTTTTTGCCTGGGTTGTGCAGGAGTGTCTTCTCTAAACACTTGAGATTAGAGAGCTGGAAGGCCAATGGGTATTAATTCAGACATTAAACACTGGGATGTGGGATCTGAATCTATGTAGAACTTGATGAAATCAGCATCCTTAGAAGCATAAGCCCTATTAAAAGAAAATGTAAAAATTGTGTCTACTGGGGCGCCTGGGTGGCTCAGTCATTAAGTGTCTGCCTTAGGCTCAGGTTGTGATACCAGGGTCCTGGGATCGAGCCCCACATCGGGCTCTCTGCTCAGCGGGGAGCCTGCTTCCTCCTCTCTCTCTGCCTGCCTCTCTGCCTGCTTGTGATCTCTGTCTGTCAAATAAATAAAATCTTTAAAAAAAAAATTGTGTCTGCTGTGGGTAGGGGCCGGGAGGTGGCTCTCTTCAGTCACTGCAAAGGCACAGGCAGCTCTTGGTGGTGTCATGTGATGAATACATGTAATGGGAGAAAGGAATTGGCAAATGTGGTGGGATTCTGAGGAGTAGGGAAGTCCTACTTTATCTTCATGATTTAACTGAATTCCTATCTGTTACTGAAGATCGGATGCTGTCGGATCATATTTACCGAAATCGCCCAAATCTAATTCGGTAGCACTGGATAAAGAGGGGTATTGGTGATGCAGTCATGTGGGCATAGCTTTCAAAAGTCACGTGGTAGAGTTGCTGTTGGCAATGAAGGAGACTTCTGGACACGGGTAGTCAGGATCAGCAAGGTGTGTGCTGTGGTTGAACCCAAGCACTGCTCTCTCAAGGATAAAAACCCAATCAAGATTTGAGCCACTGTAGATGGGGGACCTTTCAGGAAATCTGCACAGTGCATTGTGGGAACTTCCTGTTTACTTAGAGCCATGTTCAATATTCTCCTCCGCTCTGGCTCTGTCTGCTGTTGTTTTGGAATATAGGTGAGCTTCAGTGGGATGGAGTCTGGAGCCAATGACCAAGAAAAAAATTCTTGAGGCATCTTTGGTGCAAAATGTTGTTTTATTAAAGCATGGGGACAGGAGGAGGGCAGAAAGAGTTGCTGCCACCAGGGTCTTGAGGGGTGGCTGATTTTATACTATGCGGTTGGGGAAAGGTGAGGAATAAGGGAGTTTTCAAAATGATTTTCATGTATTGAAGACTCACAGGATACTGGAGGCCTTGCCATTGTCAAGTTAAGGTTGTTTTTCCCTCTTAGGAAGGCATTACCATGAAGATAGTGGGGAGTTTTCTGGAGGAACCTTACATTTTGCCCTCTTCAAGCATCTGTCAATGGGCTGCAGACTCTAAGGTCACTTAAACGTATGTACATTCCCTCTGGAAGCTTGGTAATTGATAGAAGTGCTTTGTTTTTGTAAATTTCTACGACATTTGTAGAACAGAGGGACACCCATGTCTTGCAGGATTGTGATCTCCATAAGTTAACTATTTGTTTTTTCCTTCAGCCAGGAGCCCCTGAGGAATGTCACGTGCATCCCATGGAGGGGGAGGTGAGGGTGTCAGCTTCTGCTTTGTCCTCAGCTTGCCTTCTGGTCCCTCATCATGTCCATGACACGGATTTGTGGGAGGAACAGTTCAACATGGGATATTAATC